CATTCTCTCTCTCTTTCTCTCTCTCTCTCACACACACATTTTACAAAATGAAATTATTTCCCCCTGGGTGAGAATCACTGGTCTATGATTTAAAGAAGTAGTAATTTCTTGCACTGACACTGATATAATAACGCTTTGCATGTATCATTTGGTTTTATACCACTAAACGAGATATGGATTTAGAAGAACGACTCATTACTAGCAATCCGCGAGATTGTACGTGGTTTATCGACACATTATGAAGCAAACCCAAACGAACTTGTTGGGACACTGTTATATGCTTACGTTCTAAGTGGATGTAGCACCACAACTTATCCCTACAGAAGAAAAAGCGATTAGCTACACCAATTATTTTGCGTCTTGTTAAATCTATTCGTCATCTTTCACAGTTTGAAAGGACAGGTGACTTTCATGTTTTTGACAAACTCATATCAGAATCAACGTTGTTTTTCGTTATATTGTACAGTAAAGGGGACTTTAACAGCCTTGATATATTGCGCCAACATTTATTTGCTTCAAGCAACTCTGATCTTAGAGTTCTTCCATCTACTGAGGACGCGTTTCGGTATCATTTCCTGAGCTGTCTTTACCAACTGCTGTTGTACCATCGTGTAAATCGTAAAGATCCACAACTAGCAATGCCAACAGACTTTGGCACACACCTTGTTGATGACAGACTTGTTCCAGTTATGTGTGTAAAACCATAAAAAAATTATTATTGAATTTGCCTCATTCAAATATGAAACCATCGAATGTTAAAATAACTTTATTTTAATAAAGATAAAAATAGAATGCTTCATTGGTTGTTCATGTTTAGTTTCCACTGAAACGTGTGGGAGAGTAAGACTTGTTTCACACAATAGCAGTGATATGAATGAATAAGGTTATGCTTTTGTTTTGTTGATAATATCATTCCTTTTATAACAGGGTAATATGACTAAGACTTTGAGTTTTCATGAAGTCAGATATATCAGCAAATTTACTTTCAGTAAGATATACTAAGGAAACGTTTTGAACATACTGTTAATTATTGCTGTACATTATTGTGTTAACATTAAGTTACATGCAAAATATTCAGAAATGTGTACTATCTGACCTCATGTTATGAAATAAACTATTAAAAAATTCATTGATATTTTGTTATTTTTGCTAGCAAGTAACAAATTGGATATTCAAATACGAGTTGTTTGAATAAAATTAAAAACTACTGAGTTTGCACTTGCTTGCCCTTTGACCTTTATTTTGATACTCAGATTAATATCATGGTAGATCAATTTTCATGAAATACGAGTAATTATTGTAAATACTTTAAATGATTCTTATTTACCATAATGATTTAATATATGAGTTAATACAGGACCCTTTCAATATTTTAATGATAAACGAAGATGAAAAATAATCTTGGACTGTTGTCATCTCTTGCAAAGCATTTGAAATTGTTTTTCTGCACTTACCCCTGTGGTTTTTTATCCAGATCATCGTGAGGCAACTTCATCCAATCCAATGAACACAGTTCAAACGATCGAGGAAAGAAGTTGCGTTTCTATGGCGCGAAAATGCTATTGACGATCGAAGTGGACAAGATATATATAAGTTGCAGCGAAAATTGAAATCATATATTTCATAATATCGTAAAAAATATTAATTGATTTAAAAACATGTAGTTATAACCAACATAAATAAATATAAGAACATATACAATTACAATTATACTTAAAATGTTACATACACAGTTTTTCAGTAAAGTTATAACATTGATTGTATTTCAAATATATACACAGGTTGCTTCGTATTCTATTGCATGCTCACAAGTAGCATATGTAGCTAAGTAGCTTGGTCTGGCGAAAAAGAGGACAGAGAGATATTAAAATCATTTTAGTATCATTTTCAGTACAACTTACACAACCGTAAATTTTAATTATAGTTTTTTGTAGTTTTAACTAACTAAATAACCAATTAGTCCTGACACTCAGAGGCTAATTTAGCTTCATCATTACGTTTTTAGTTAAATATTTACTGCACTCTAACATCTAAGTCTAATTTACACTACACTCTATAGTCTAAATAAATTATAATTCTATTCTGAATAGGCCCTGAGGCAGCTTGGTCTGAGTGGTAAGAAAAGAAGTTAATATTAAACTTTAATACCTGTACAAATGATATTATAATTGATATCTTAAAAAAAGTTATTAGGTTTACTTAAAAATACCTTTGTTTCTCCTGTATTGCTGGCATTATTAATGTTATACTTATACAGAACAACGGCAAGAAATCTTTCAAACAAAGTAGTCTTCCAAACAGTGACACAACGAAACTAGTTATAAAAGAAGCGCCAATACAAAGTTTATATTCATTTTTAACCACGTGACGCTAACTGAAATTCTAGTGGGAGGAAAGAATGATAGATTTTTTCCTCCTACTTAGCACCCAGTGGTACAGCGGTATGTGCGGATTTACAACGGTAGAAACCGGGTTTCGGTACACGTGGTGGGCAGAGCACTGATAGCCCATTGTGTAGCTTTGTGCTTAACTTCAAACAAACAAACCACCTACTAAAACAAATATAAAATCCTCGTTTACAATCACAACTAGTTTTTTGCGGTTTGACATGCTAGAGACGCTGAGTCCAGTGGGTATGATTTTTACGGAAGTAACTTCGATTAAGTTTCTAAGTATGGTTATTAATTACCATTTTTTTCATTTTCATTTTGAATGGCAGTTGGCCATGTAATTTTAAGATGAGAATCCTTGTTTTTCACATGGAGTAAAGGTTTACAGTTACAATGTCTCCAACAATTTTTCTTGAATGATTAGTTAGTGCCCTAATCTAAGAACAGAGACACGAACTTGTAAAACTAAAAGAAAGTCTAAATAGCTTGGCGGCCAACTTTAATTTCAGGTAATCCTTGTGCCAGAGCTTTTCGTTCGTTTCTGGCAGTTATTTAGATTTAAAAGTAATTATTTCCGAAGAAATAATTACTACCCTAGGGTGCTCGAAGATTAAACAATCCTCCTTCACCCCGCGCGTGGCCTAGGAATATGGGCTTAACTTGAGAAAACAGGAAATTAATGCAGACAAGGTATGTAAATTTAAAAAGGCAAACGTGAGAGTAACGGTAAACAATAAAAAGTGAAGAGAAAGATAAACTAAACGGCCTATATCGGACTGATGGTCCATCAGGGCGGCGGGGATCTAAAAATCCTATGCCAAGAATTTAATGTGGGGGGAAACGGGAGTACCTCGAGAAAACCCACTTTCACTGGTAACGACCAATCCGTTACCAGTGCCTGGTTAGCGTGAAGTAAGAAGGGAAGTAAAAGTGAAGTCCGGTGCTGGGGGTTGATTAGCTTTTGAATGAGTTGTGGAGTCGCCCGATGTTCTCCATGGTTTTATTGTGGAACAGGTTCCGGTTCCAGGCAGGTGATAAAGGCGTAGGGTCCTCGGTGAGTGGGCGGAAGGCACAGAAAGGTTCGTCGGGTAGGGAGAGATAGGGGGAGGTGTCAGTTACTAAGGCGTTCGGTGAGATTGACGACGATGATGTAAAAAGTGAATTGGGGCTGAGAAGCGGGTTGTTGGTTTTTTGATGGGCGCCGTTGGTAACTGTGAAGACTTGCGGCTGGGTCTGGGTAATGGTGGTTTGGGTTGACATGTCTTGTGATTCAGGAGTAGGTGAAGTTTGAGTAGCTTGGTCTATTGTAATAGGATGGGTGGTAGAGTACTGGTTGGCAGAGGTTTTCTTTTGGGTGTTGAGAAACGTGGGCTTGGGGGGTAGGGAAGGTATGGGGTGGGTGAGGCTTAGGTAAGGTTTTTCTACCTTAAAGTGATGATAATCAAGGTAGCAGCCATGGGTGAGGATGGAATCTGCTGTTGTTTTGGAAGTTGTGACAACGTTCATGAACGTGGTGGGTGTAACTGTTTTCTTTGATGGGATACAATGGACTGCGTGGTTCGTAGTACCAGGTTCTTTAGTATTTATCAGTTTGATGGGGTCTTCAGATATTCTATATTTAATATTATAGCTTTCTGGACTGATTTTTAACTGTATAACACAACATTAAAGAACAGCGAGGGACCTTTTGGTAAGTGTAGGCTGTCCTATTCACTAAATTAAACAAACCCTTTAAAAAAACAAAATTTGATAGCCCTTATTTACATGTTTGTCAAGCTTTCCCTTAAACTCGTTTAAATTGACAGCATCCACCACATCTGAAGGCAACCCATTTCAGAGACCAACCACCCTGTTAGAAAAATAAAGCTCTTTTAGCTGAACTTGACTTATTCGCTACCAAAATTTATATTTGTGTTTCCTAGCCTTACCATTTTCACCATTAAATACGTAAAGAAAAATGACCCATCGACGCTATCTTAAGCACCTCAATGTATTCCCCACTAACTCTTCTTTAGTGAAGAAAAAATAAGTTTAGAGAGGTATTATCTTAGTAGCCCTCTGAACCCTTTCCAACAGTTCAATGTCCTTTTTGAGGTAAGGAACCCAAGACTGAACACAATACTTCAAATGTGATCTATACAATGACATTATGTCCTCTTTAGACTTGTATTCATTATTTCTGTACATACAAACTAAACTTCTATTTGCCTAGCCACTAACAACAACACGTTGGTTAGATGGCTTAAGAGACTGATCAACTAAAACACCAAGATCTTTTTCTTCCATAATTATATTGAGGTTACTCCGATCATAATTATGCTTATAATTCAAACTATGATATCCCACATGCATTTATTATAATTAAAAGTGTTCTGCCATATATTTGCCCAACTCACCAAATAATCTAAATCCTCCTCACAGTCAGCAACAACCAAAACTTTAATGTTATCAGCAAATTTAAATATTCTATTGGCCATTGACGGAAAATTGAATAGTGATATTGTAAACAGAAAGTTGTTACGTTAAACCTTCAGACAAACATATTTTTGTGCATTTGAAGGAAGTATGTATATCAAAATTAAAATATATTTTACAGTTCGGAACAAGCTGAAGTTGTTATGGAGGATCTGAAAGGTCAAACACCCAAGAAAAATGAGGTAATTCCAATAAAATAGCACATTCTCTGGTATTAGATGTTGCAGTCTTGTTCGTATGGAAAGAGGGCAAGAGTTTGTTGTCATACCTAGATGTTTTTAAAAACTTGTAACATAATTCCTTACTTAAGAATTACAAGAGGCTATGTAAAGTAAGCTCTACATAAAATATAACTTGAAATGTAGACCATACACAGAATTGTTGTGTATAACATTGGCTATTTGTATGAATCAATTTTGTCTTGAAGCAATTAAACATAAAAATTAGTTTAACGAAGAAATTTGGATTTCAATACTATTTTCAAATTGGAGAGCTTGTGTGTTGACACTGATTTTCCTAAAAACTGTGTAACATTTTTATTGTTTTTTTTTCTTATGTGTTGTTTTCAAAACAATTTGAAATTTTAGCAATACATGTGTTTTACTACAGACAACAGAAAAGACTGAAATTGTAAAAGAAGATGAAGGAAAAATTGAGGAAAGTGATAAACAACTAACAGAGGAAAAAGATGAGAAAGAATTAGAAGAGTCAACAAAAGTTGTAAATGAGGAACCTGTTAAAGATGATGATGATGGTAAGTGCGAGAAACTGGTATATTAATATGAATTTTTAATATTTCATTATTACAGCTGCAAGGAAACAAGTATATTGTTCTCAAATTCCTGTCAAAAATGACAGTTAGGTGCAAACATCAGTGTATGGAAGTTTCATAAGTTTTTACTGTTGTACTGATGTTTAAAAAATGTTCCTTTATCTATTATGTAAAGATGCAGAGTCAGAATCATCTGAAAAACCAGATAAGGGTTCCTCAAAGAGAAAATCAGAAGATGGAGCAGGAGATACAGTAGAAGAAAAATGTAGCCCTGAAAAGAAAGCAAAGCTTAATGAATCGGAAGCAAAAGAAGAGTCCGAGTTATCAGAAACTCCAGCAGTTGAAACTAATGTATAGATGTGTTATAGTTTTCAACCTCGTTTAAGTATGTATTCTTACTCTATATCTTAGAATTTTTCTTTGTGTTCCATACTGTTTTCTTTTAAGGTGGGTTACAAATAATTTATTTGCACAAAATATCATTATACCTTATAACTGAGGCAACAGCAAAAAACGATAATATTTAAACTCACAGACATTGTCCAAAGACAGCCATCTAACTATCCTTTTTGAAGTTTGAGATGAACTGATGTGGGTATGTGAAAAGAATAAAATGTTCTTCTACAAAAATGTATTTTTCAGTTGTACTCTAACAAAATGACAGGATATATATATAAAGTAACTTTTCCTTAGAATTCCTTAGGACATGATAATATATCTGTGTTCTAGCTGGCCAATTTTTGAAACATTCATATTTCTAGGGCTGCTCATTTTTTTTTTCATTTGTATTTAAACAAAACATTGATTTCTATGAAGTGCAAGACTTCTTTACCAGTTTTTTGAAATACTTTTGTTTGGTTAAACTGAGAAACATTTGAGTCATTTAGTTTTTGATGAATTAGTTCTATTGGTTTACTGTAGTGTGTATGAGAGTCTTGTTTGTAACTTTTAGCAGACATGAATTTATTATGTCTCAATTTAATAAAGGTGACTTGAACATAAAAGTAATGTATAAATTATAAGAGAATAGACCAACCAAAACACCACCACCAAATATAGCCTTTCATATTTCTGTGGTATTCTTCTTGAATACATTGATAACCTTTGGATAAGGATACTAAAAGAGAAATGGCAAAAATGTATCAGACTAAAATGAATCTTTGATGTGACTGAGTTCAGGAATAAAGACTGAACACAATGTGGAAAATAAAGCTTTATCTACAAAAACAAGATATGGTCAACTGAATGGAGGCAAGAGAAATGTACAATACAATAAATGGCCTTACTCTAATTGTACACAACTCTCTCTGAAGAAGATCTAGCAAATTTTGGAGAAGAATGAGAGAACAAACTACTATATATTTATACTAACAGGATCAATTCCTGCAATGTTGCCTACATCACTTAGTCATTCCATAAATAGATATAGGGAGGGCATTACCTCTAGGTATTTTTAAACCTATACACAAACATGTTACTAAAGACACAGTAACAGACCAGAATAGTTCTTTAGTGACGCCTGCCTTAAGAGTGCTTAGAAATATCCTGAAAATATGTACCTAGTACAAACAATAAGGCTGATATAGACTATGATCAGTTTTCTGTATGAAAAATTTATATGTGACTTAATCCATGTATATATATATATGAAAATATAAATTTAATATGGACTAAAACTCAATCTTTCTAAGCTAGAGAGAGAAATAAATGTGGTATTTTTGGACTGGAAAGGGTTGAAGAAATGGTCCAGGACCTCAGCTGTTCTATTGAATATCAGCAAAGATGTGTGCTCACCTCTTCAACCAATTACAGAAACAAGACACAAGTCGAGACTAATTGCAACTTAATACACAAGACATTTATGTCACCATTATAACTGTCGAGAGTTCTTAATATTAATGCCAAGAGAAAACCACAAATTGGATCATCTTTCCCAGATTGCATGCATTACCAATGTCATTTGGTTAAAGTAGAAGCAAAGATAGGGAGTACATATCCTCCAGTTATTTCTAAAATTGTACATGATTGATCACACTAGAAAACACGTAGTATCCTACTGAAATATTTCTCTTGTGATAATTTCAGAAATGTCCCTAAAATGCAACATACAATAAAGCCAAACTGAAAATTATGACCAAGTGTCACCAAAATGAAAGATAAAATTCTCGTAATTTGAACGAACAGCAATGGAAATAATTACAAAAAACAAAAATTGATAGACACACATACAGAAGTCACAAACAAATAGTAAGGGCTATTGACAGTGAATTATTAATGGTACAATATATTACCACAGAAAATAAAAAAGTGAATAAGGTGTACAATGTCCTACTATTTTGTAAATGAAGCATTTCAGTGTTTTTATGCTGCCATACAGTTTATTCCTTTATGATTGCCGAATATTATTCCAGGTGTCTGTATCAGTTCCTACAGTTAAACAAAGCTGTTTGGTTGCTTTTTGACCATTTCATATAAGTTGTTCATATTGGGACTTTCTGAAGCCCACACATGGTTGTGAGTATTCCATCAGCATTTTTACAAAAAAAGATATCATTTCATCACATCTGCAAATTTAATTCCCAGATGATAAGTCGTGTTCCTGACAAAATGATTGCATAGTGGTTAAGAATTTGTCAGGATGCCATCAATTTTGTGTAGATAATCAACACCGTTGACTGAAATGCAGCCTCAAACTTGTATTTATCCCCACATCACTGTAGATGTTGTACCTTGATTATAATGCTGTTATCCTCTATTCCACAGAATACACTGTCATTGATCATTTCTGAACAATTCAAACTTAGATTCATTTGTAAAGAGCATAAATTTCCAGCTTTGCCCATTCCACAGTTTCTACCTTTTGGATGGGTTGCCGCTCCATGGCAATGGTGTTTAAACAGCCACACATCCATTGAGCCTACTTCATGCTAATGTGTGTCTTACTTTTCTCAAGTTTATATTCACTTGTATTTATAGTAAAGTCGTTGGATCTTTATTCGACTATCATATAAAGAACGTGCCATAAAATTGGGCGATTAGGATCAGATTTTTTTTCAAGTGGCTACGTGTCCATGGCTTAAATACAAACAAATTTAATAAGTAGGTGGTCCACTGGTAGCTCAATGGTGTAGCCTAACTTGATCTCATAGGAACATTATATGGTCATTTGTAGTGAAGTGATTAAGCATAAGCTTGAAGAATTATCTGTATTCCCTTTTTCTACAACATTTAGGTATATAGGAACAACCAAAATGCATTTAAAAAGCCACAAAAAATTTAGAGATTAGTATACCTTCTTTTACACATTTAACCATAATGAACAGAAAACAACTACCAGACGTCAAATGTTTTGAAAAAGATTAAACAGGTGTAAGCTTATAATACAGATATCAGATGTGACAAAAGCAAACTGTATCATCTATGAAAGTAATGTCGTGTTTCACTGGAAGCTTTGGCACTAAAATTAATGTCATGAAAACATTTTGTTAATCCAGCCAATAGTTCATTTGATATTAAAATATAGTTAGATGAAGTAGGTTTTGACTCTAATCATCCCATTTTATGGCTCCCTAAGATACTTCTATTGTTAACAGTGACAATTGCATGTACCTTCTTCAGAATCTAGTTCCTGCTGGAACCTACTTTCACGGACAAGATGTCTGCCAGGGCCGTGCCAGAAGAAAAGTCCGGAACGGGAAAGAAAGTCAGTGAGTGAGAAGCAGTAGATTAGTTTCTCAGGAGACAGTTACGATCAAGACCTTACAGTCTTGAAAAAGAACGATTGTATTTGTCATCATGGTAGGTTGAGTCAAATCAGTAGAAGTATTCTGGTAGTGTAGAGTATAGGCGTGTGTGACCATCGTCTTCGTGGGATCAACTGATACTCTAGGCTGAAACTGGTTGATGAAGGCGCAGGGAAAAGTCGAGAGGTAAAACCTCGAAAAACGATTATAGTAAACTTGGTTTAAAACATATATTCCTAAACTGAAAGTTTAAGGTTAAACGCCACTGGGGGTGTTAAGAAAAACGTTTTCTCTTCGCCCCCCATTTGTGATATATAGAATTAGATTGGCTGCGTGAAAAGAAAAGGATAGCTGATGGATCAGTGGCAATCAAGAAGTAGAGAGGGAACCAGGAATGGTCAACACAAAACCAATGGCCGATGTAGGACTTATGGTTCTTCAGGGCGGCGGGGCATCCCCGAGAAAATCTACTTTCACTAGCTGGTGCCTAATGATTGGCATCCAGTGTTGCTGGATAACAAGACTGGTTATTGATTGGGGCTGGTCTCCGAGTTTGAGTTAACGGGTGGAAGTGTAGCCCATGCGGGACTGAGTCTTTGGGTAGGTATTTGAGGAGGTGGCTGCTTGATAACGGGACCCATACCTGATGGAGCTGGGCGACGGGGTGGTTTGCAGTGCGGTTTTCAGCTCTGGAGTGGTATAGATGATAGGAAATGCCACCGGTAAGGATATGGTTTGAAGCTTGCTGCAACGTTGTAACTATTTTAACGAAATGGAATGGTTTTCCTTAACTTCTTGAGTTGATGCAGTGGGCTGCGTGGAATTTGGTTTTAAAGGAGTGCTCTTGATACCATCGTGGCTTGTAGAGGGATCGACACCTCTTAGAAATACAGTCGAGAGATAGCATGATTCTTTGTACTTTTATAGGTTTTATAATGGTATGGCACTTCCTGATTGGTTAAATGACAATCAGTCACGGTGTAAACTATCAACACAAGACTGCACTCTAGCACAGTTTATAACGGTCTAAAATGAACACGCCGCTACAATCAGAGTTCAACAACAACAAAAATTTATTGAACAATAAAAACACTTAGAAATAAATTCAACACCTACAAAAACACAGTTACTAATGTTAATAAACAATATATCATAAATATCAATATTATTTCAAACTTGAAATCAGTTAGGTAAAGTGAATTTAACGTTAGTTTAACGTAATGATTAAGCTATATTAGCCTCTGAATCTCAGGAATAATTTAGTATTTAATTAAAACTACAAAAAAGTACAATTACAACAGTACAAGCTACTGATGTGTTAACTTGTAAGCTGTGCTGGGAAGAAAGAGAATAACGGAGTTTTTCCCACCTACTAAATAAAATATACATTTTAGCTGTGATTGTAAACGTTTACAATCACAGCTAGATTTTTTTCGGTTTGCCAAGTAATGCTAGAGACGATGGGTCCAGTGGATATGATTTTTACGGAAGTAACTTTGCTTAAGTTTCTAAGTATGATTATTAATTATCATTCTGCTGATTTTCATTTTGAACAGCAATTGGCTATTTTGCGCCATTTAGGATGAGAATCCTTGTTTTTCACATGGAGTAAAGGTTTACAATTACAACATATACCGTACTAACTATAAGATATAAGTCTCCAACTTTTACAATTTTTCTTTAATCATTAGTTAGTGCCCTAATCTAAGAACATGATACACGAAATTATAAAAGTAAAAGCAAGTCTACGGGACTTGCAAATAGATTGGCGCCCAACTTTATGACATTAGGTGAAACCCGGAACGCCTACATCCGCTGACTGGCGGAATAACGTTCAGAATCAAGCCAAACGCACCCGAAAGTTTTCCGTAAAATAAGTAAAAAACTCCTAAAAATATTTAGAATAAAGCTACAAATCCCATATAATATTTTACTTGGGTGAATTTCTACAATATCATTGTTAATTGTTTATTAATTCAAATTGTACTTTTCTGCTTTAAAACTTTTTATGCTACATTAATGACAGTGTAAGTTGTAACTGTAACCTCTCAAGATTGGTAAAACGCGGAACCATCAGATCTCAAAAAAGAAAAATATCAAAATATCTCAAACAAAAAACGTTAAAAGTAATCCTTACAAAAATAACGATATTAGAGTTCACTAATGAGGGGTACGGTTTCTTTTATTACACTAGAAGGTGCTACGTCTTCCATAACCTATGTATAAATACATCTGAATTTACTACTATTACAAATAGTAAATTGAAATAATAGATTGTATCCGAATGTACAGCGTGCATTCTTACACCGACTGTTTCAATGTTAATATTAAAAGACAATCTTTGAAACTACATCAACTTATTACGGACTATTTGTTTCACAAGTCAAAACACACATTTGTAAAGGTCATTAAATACTTTATTCTGTGATCTATACTTGACACAGACAGTCTGTAATGCCGATATTCGACACTGAATGCTAAATGCACCTTATCAGTAAATCTTTGAAACTGAATTGACTTATCACGGACTCGTGTCACAAATCAAAACACACATTTGTGAAGGTCATTAAATACTTTATTCTGTGATGTATACTTGACACAGACAATCTGTAATACCGATATTCGACACTGAATGGTAAATAAATCTTATTAGTAAATCTTTGAAACTGAATTGACTTATCACGGACTAGTGTCACAAATCAAAACACACATCTGGAGGGGAATAACCTTAACAATAACAGTGTAAAGAAAGAAAGGGATCTTGGTGTAGTGATTGATCAGTCTCTTAAGCCATCCAAACTGATAGGGCAAATAGGATTTTAGGTTGTATAAACAGAAATATTGAATACGATTGTAAAGAGGTTATAATTTCATTGTATAGGTCACTGGTTAAGCCACATTTGGAGTATTGTGTTCAGTCTTGGGCTCCTTATCTTAGGCAGGACACTGAACTGTTGGAAAGAGTTCAGAGGAGGGCTACTAGAATGATGCCTGGGGTGGAGGGGTTGTCATACGAAGAGAGGTTAAGATCTCTGAAATTGTTTTATCTTGAAAAAAGAAGAGTTAGAGGGAATTTGACTGAGGTGTTTAAAATTGTAAAGGCAGTTGATAGTGTTGATGCATCATATTTTTTCATACTTAACAGTGAGAATTGTAGGACTAGGGGATGCAAATATTAAGTTTGGCAAGGTAGGAGTCATCTTCAGCCAAGACAGTTTTATTTTTCTAACAGGGTGGTTGGCCTTTGGAACGGGCTGCCTTCGGGTGTTGTGGAGGCAGTAAATTTAAATGAGTTAAAGAAAAAGCTTAATTACTGTATGAATAAGAGGCTTTGAGTTTTTTAATATTTTTAACTCGGTTTAAAGGATAGGACAGCCTAGATTGAGCTGTAGATTTCTTGTTGTCCCTAAACATTATGTTATGTTATAATCTACACCATGCAAATTTCAGATACTGTGCGGCCTAATATGTACATGCAAAATATAATTCTGATTTGTGTTAAGTTATTTTCGTTAGGATAACATATTCTGATTGTCTTATGTTACAAAATCATCTTTAGAATAATAAATATAAAATACATTTAATCACCAATACAGCTTTAGAAGTTTGAAACAGAGTATAGAGAAGGTAGAACTGAACACGAGAATTTATTATTAATTTTAGGGTTTGTGGCATTTTCAAAATTTTGTTGTTGAATCAATTTTTTCTATTTTAGTTAGTATAATTTATTTTGTCTTAGAATTTCAGTTTTGGTCTTATGTGTCCAAAATGTTTTAAATATGTTCACTAGTGTAATTTTGTCATTAAAACTATAATTTCTATGTCTATCTTTGTTCTGGTAACAGTCTTCATATTTTCTTATTTGTTTCTTCAATCTCAGACATGCAGTGAAAATAGGTATAAGAAAATATAAAAGAAAGAAGGAAAAACTGGATTTTTTTCTAATATATTAAGTCAAAATATTTGCCATTAGCTTCATGAATGATAGTAAAAACAAAAAGAAATACAACTCTTTTGGTAATAAAATAAAGTATCGTGAACTTTCTAAACGTTCTATAGAAGTCGTTTCAATACTATGCTCGTTATTACAAGTATATCTGACATATTTCCAGGCCAGATTTAGAATAAGAAAGTTGTTCGTCGGGAATTACAAGAGATGGAAATATCCTGTAGATTTTATTGCATGTTGTAATAGTACACTCACAATAAAATACTTAATAAAACTGAGTAATAGGTTCTGTAAACATATTGTTACGATAGCGGAAGTCACGTGACGCTGGTAACACAGGTCATGAGTTTCTCGAAGGATCGTGACTGTTCCTGGCAACTCTAGTCTATTCCAGGCGCCCTCTATTTTAGTATATAAGCCCGGCAAATAAAGCGGAGATAATGGCAGATAGACAGATTTAAAGATAGATAATTGAGTCAAGCGAGCAGTAGGCACCGTAAGTAAAGTGCGTGAATCGTTGTGAATTATAGCGCGTGTTTAAGTTAAAGTTACTATGGAAATTAAGTGTATTACAAAGTTTGTAACGAGAAAGAATAAACTAGTTTTATTTAAGAAAGGACTTGTATCGCTGAAGTTCCTCGGGAAGAATTTATACCGGGAAATTAACAAACAACCAGATACGTAACAATATGTTGTCCTTTGAAGCGGAGTTGAAACATGGCAATACAAAACAAACACGTCTTCGCAGTCCAAATCCTGCTTCAAAAACATGAAAGAAAGATATGTTTGATTCATGAATGATGTATTAAGCAAATATAACAATTTTCATTGAAAATAAGGTGGACATACATTCAAACTGGTTTATTACCTATTGCTAGCTTATTTTGTATTAAGCGGTGCTAAAATACAGATGTTTTGATTATACAAAGTAATCCTGACCTGGTTTTTACTTGACAGACAGTATCACAAATCTCTTTTTACTATGTGTGTACGATACGTACTAGGTAACACAAAATTTTTTGAGAGTTGTAGTTTTGTAAATCTAGTTTTTATAGAGTTCGAACTAGTAGTGTCTTTCTGTAAGCAAGGAAACCTCGACGTTAGATGTGTCATAAAATGCTCAAGAACAAAAAAGTAAGTGAACAAGAGTTTGTAAGGCATCCCCATTTGGTTAGTGATAATTCACAGAGAGTTTTTTGGAACAAGGAAATTACCAAAACAAAATATCCATTATGGAAAATCTTCCATCATTTGTTAGAATAAGAAATACTTCGGTTAATAGGAAACTGCTTTACATGGCCTGGAAGAGAAATCACAAAGGTGTTGTGGATTTATGCAGAAAACAAAATGGCCAGAAACAAATTTCAAGAAATAAAAGCCCATTCTCCAGCTCACGAGTTTCAAACTTTAGACCAAGCTATGAATGAAAATGCATCTGTGACTCAAGAGTTTTCCAGCTCAGAGACACTGTTTAGTATATTTCAACAAAATAAGTCAAACAAGCAATAAAAAGTTGTCACACAGAAACCATAACCATGTTAGAACACATAACAACAATGGATGTAAGTGCTCAAGGTCAAAGCGCTAAAGGTACTTCTTATGTCGGATAACAATATATTCTTTTTGGTTTCTCAAAGGAACTGTTAACATTAGAGACAGCGAGCTAGAAACTATATTTTCTACATCAAATAGATATTCCAAAACTTTCAACCAAATCAGTGTAACCTGGTGAAATATACTGCTTTTTTAATGTAAGGGGTTTGTTGGTGCTTATTGGCGCAAAGCAACGAGGCTGTCTGCACCAAACAACCGGTATAAAAACAAAAAGTAAAATACATCAACATGTAAAAAGAAAACAAGTTAAAACAATGCCCACAAATCAGGTAAAAACTAAATATAAGGAGTTTGTTGGTTGTTTGGTGCTTTTTGGCGCAAAGCAACGAGGATATCTTCGCCAACAACCGATATAAAAACAAAAAGTAAAATACAATAAAATATAAAAAGAAAACAAGTTAAAGCAATGTCCACAAATCAGGTAAAATATAAATAGAAGTAAAAAGGCCAGTGGCCCGCACAAAGCTAAAAACAATCAAGTTTGACAGTGTCACCATCGCCAATGACACCGTCCAACGACCGAAAATACATGTCTAAAATGTGTGTCACAAGGTCACACATTGGCAGATCAGTCTCACATAAAAGAGAACGAGTTGAAAAAAACTGTGACCAATGCATAGCCTACGTAAGACAACTTACTCCCATCGATCCTTATGGAAGCTAGACGGCCAAATAACAACAGTATACTTGATCTGGAAAAGCTTGTTATGAAGTTGCTCACGCCAAAGCGATTGCCAACTGGCGCAAAGCTGGACCTTAACCATAAGCCATATATGGGACAGGCAAGGCTGTGACGATGCCAGAGCAGATGGACTAAGCTGTGGTGTCAGCATACACATTCACTACAATACTGACATAGCTAGGTATATATATATATAAACTGGATAGAAACAGAACACAGAGAAAAGTGGGCCAGTTGTTTCTGAATATCGACGAGAACAGGTTAAGAATTCACATGAAGCTATTCCAAAGCCAGTAGAGAGCTAAGAGGGTCTGTGTAAATAGTACAATTAGTGTACCGCTTAGCTTCTACGTGATCCAGGGCAAGAGAAAGCCCATGCATGAAGTCAACAACAGTGTCCTCTAATGATAGACGAGATGTTATCTTGAGGTTTCAACATCAACGTCCCTTACGTTTGAATAAGAATTACCAGTCACCTGGGTAATTTGACGTTACTCATTTCAATTAAGTTATGTGACGTTTAAAGAATCTGTAAAATTATCTTGGATGAATCGGTCTTGGAAATAAGTATTGAGGGAGTAGAACCAACCCCATCAATTCACCACTCAGTAAGGGCGACTGTCCAGTCCATTCATGTCCTAGATCAGACATCAAATGAAAGCTCAAACTTTAATCTAAGTTCTTTTCAAGTATTTTTGTTTTAAACATTTGATTTTCATACATACTTTAATGTTATAATATTTACTTTCAAAATTTTTATTTCCACTTATAATGCTTCAAACATTCCAGTCTTTCATTTGCTGGGTGCATTGTATATATACTTAATAAAATGCTGTAATTTTGCTTGTTTATGTAATGTTTCACTCATTCTTGATTTTCTTCTTTCTCAGATTGCTCTTGATGGGATTAACATACATTCAAAGAATAACTATTTGCAATTTTAAAATAAATAATTTGAATTACTCTCTACAGTTTCCAAGTTCCCTAACAGTATGAATTAACTTCTAATCTAAAGCTTAGGCGGTTTATGGTTATAAAATATTCATCGTTCTTTGAACTCAACTAACAGAGTTGACAGAGGTCGCTTTTCAAAGGGAAATGACATTGGGGGTGGGCCAAGCTGTTTATCAGTTATGGAATTATTTTTGGTATTATTTATAGAGCATTTTTAGATCTAGCCTTTAAATATATCACGGCGATGTCGTCAACACGACAGACCTGTTTAATAGTACTTAGTGGTGCAAAAGAAGGTAGTATTTAACGTTACTGTTACTAGTATTACTTAAATTAAGTTTATAATATGTTGCTGCTAAATAGATGTAAGTTGTAACCTTTTCGTCATGAGAATTTAATATTTTTTATTTCATATGAAATGTTTATTAGGCCGTCTGTTATTCAACTTTCAAGTTCATGGTTATTTGAAACATGTAGAGTACAAACTAACCATAAAAGAAACGTACCACAAACTAAAAAATAACTATAAGATACAAAACATATATAATTTGAGAAAATGTACTCTATTGCCTTGCACTTACAGGGAGAATAAGAAAATGTGCGCGCATGTGCTTGTGTATGTATACACATACCTACACAACACAGGTAATGGAAATAAACATAATAATCTTATTGTATAACATAAAATATTAGCAGAAGACCTAACACTACATACTCTGATAAACTGACTTATATGGTTTCTGCAAATGAAATTACAATGTAATTGTGGCCTAAAATATTTTATCCTGTTTCATGTACTGCTTGAGTTCGATAAGATAAACTTTCCTTTGAAAGTGATGTGGGTTATTGATTTCCTGTGGTTGTATAAGTAGAAATATCCTGAAAATATTTTACATTGATCCTTAAGAATTGTATTTTAGTCATAACATTGAAAACTTGAATGTGAAATCCAGTCATATAAATCTACATGTATCAAAAGCTAATTGGATACATTCAATAATTTGTTCAGACTGTTTACATGTATGAGATTTTTTTTTGTGTGTGAACACAATTTTTAATAAAAAAGTAGCAGTTACTAATTAAACTTTACAGTAGAAATTGAAACTTTCAGTTTTCCAAATTCTTAGTAGGAAAACCATATATTCCTAATATGTAGTCCATTCATAGAATGTTAAAGTTTAAGTAAATACAATTTAGTATATATACCTATATATCTTCAGTTCCTTACTTTCTTATTCATATATATTTTTTTTCATTTAGGGAATTCAGCACAATCTTTTATTCAGTCTTTCACCTTACTTCACACAGCTTTTACTGTTCAGATTGCAACTCCTGGGGTAAGTATCAAATTTGTTATTTAATATGAAAATGTAGAAGTTGAGTACATTATATTAAACAATTTTGTAACCTCATTGTGTCGTTAAAATCTATGTTACCATGTCAGGTCATGCTCTATCTTATGACTGAATCGTGAAACAGTCCTACAGTGTAGTTTCCATTGCAAAAGGCTCTGCTGTAAGTTTGTCATGTTGAAAGCACTCCACTCCTCCCTGCCAACTTTCCTAATCCATCTAGTATATGAGGTGACATTTTTCCAGCACCTGTTTCAACAACCCGATTGCACAGAAATTCATAGGTGCTACATCTGGCAACCTGGCCAATATGTCTATATGGAATAGTATGGATACCCAATTTATTGTCCAGCTGCTTGAGGTATGTGATGGTTGATCAGGTATATCATAGGAGCAACTTCTGTACACATGACTTTTGTTGTTCTTTCATACAGAGATCCTTCTTGATAATCTTGCATACCACTGCCTGGGGCACATAAATTGTTTTTACCACTGACCTTTGTGTTCATTGGTTTTCATCTATTATATACTTGAGGTATGACTTGTTGCAAGTCTATTTCTGGACGGTACTAGTGACCAAAATTGATCTTTATTCTTTTGTTTGCCAGTGCCATTAACTACAAGGAATATTTTGTATAAAAAGACTGTTACATACCCCTCTCAGAAATCTGTTTTTTTTTATGGTATCTCACTACCTATGAAATTCCAAGTAATGTCAAAAGTATAGTTCTGATAAATGCTATTCCACTGTGACTTTATATCAGCAGTAGTTGCCACATGACTTATTGATTTTCATATTCAAAATCATTTTACATATACACACTCAACCCTCTGTATATTATTATATATTCTACAGTACGTGAGTTTCTAACTCTTGCATTCTAATTTAGTGCTTATCTCTCAGGGATTGAAACATCATGGTCTTGAAGAAACAATGAAATTTTTTTCTTTTTTTCTAAATGCTCCTATTTAGGAATGGAAACATGATAGATATTTAGTTTTAAAATATGATGTTTCAATGTATTCAAATTTAAAAGATATTCTGTAATATTTAATAGGTTTGGAATGAATGAATACTATTTTCACATTCATTGCATATATGTGTATGGACAGAAATAGATACATGGCCTTATTGAGTGAGTTCAAGCTAGATGAAGGAATGAATTACTTAATAAGATCCAAGGCTTAAATGAGAGACTATAAAGGATATATTTAGAATAATAGGTGGGCTGCTTGCCAGGGCAAGAGTAAGTTATATACTAGAGACAGGCTCTACTTAAGTAGGCTAGGTAGTAGCTGGGTGATTCATGAAATTTGGTAATTGAGTAATTGTTGGGTTCATTTGTTGATTAAATTCAACTAATATATTATTTTCACATGTGCTTGGTAGTTAAAATTATCAAATAGTAATAACTGGAAACATTTTGATCAGTTCATAGTTTTTGTGACATTAATCAATTTAATCATAATTTCAGTTAATTGATCACCACTTTATGTGATATTAATTGATGTAATTATGCTCACAGGTAATCAATTATATTAAGATAATCATCTACTCATATTTGTGAAAGTTTTTCAAAATATTTAATATAGTTTAACCCTGTGTATGACAGGGTTAAAATGAGCATGTCTCACCCTTTTGCAAAGTTATATTCAAGATTGAATTATACAACTTAATTTTCAGTGTACGTTAATAAACTTACCATCAAAATGTACTTAATAATTCAAATTTTACTATTTTCTAAAATTTTAATTTCAAAATGAAACATAAAAAAAATTCTCAGTCTTCACTCTTCTGTGTCACAAGACATGCCTTGCTTTGATTTCTACCACTCAGAATTCTACAACATCAAAATAGGATGCAGAGGCTTACAACAAATTAGAATGCACATAATGACAAGTAAGATTATAAAATGTAAACATTACAACTTCTTGATTTGCTGAGATATCAACAGATTTGTAAAGCCCACTAGAGAATCCTCCACTCATCTTTTCATGCCAGTTATCTATATCAGAATTGTTTGTCTTATGGTCATAGAAAGAAAGGGATCTAAAGACTGTTTGTTTAAATTTGGCAGTTTTAAAGGTGATATTTTGCAAAGTAAACTTGCTGTGTGTTGAGTAGAGTCATTGGTCATAGCTGTAACAATTTTTTTAACCTACTTATAGCTTAGTTAGAAAGCCAGATATGTTCTATCAATCTTGGGACATTCTCAACTAATGCCTCATATATTTTTCTATTCAAGATACAGATCTGAAAGCCACATGAATTATTGTTTGGACAACCAATGCAATGAGAGAAAAAAAAGGGGTTACTGAAGACAGGCCTCAGTGCCTAAAGCAAGTTATAAGTTTCTTGTTTATTTATTGTTATATACTTTTTAACAAAAGTAACTAAAATGTAAAAATTAAAAACTTCTTAAAAATAATTTAAAATTTCATAAATTTAGGAACTTGAACAGAGAGTTGGGCAATTAGGGGTGGTTGCTAGTTTATTAATATATGACCCAATTAATCAATTAGTGCAGTGTTATTCAAACCATGGTATATATAAGCAAAAAAAAAAAGATTGGTGGTGGGTGGTGCCAGAGAGTTAACTCTTCTTTAGTCAGCAATTCAACAACAGCAACAACAAAATTGTTGAAGGTGGGTGCCACCATCTGGTTGCCTTTCCACTAATTGGCAGTTCTAAATAAATTACAGCACAGATAATCTTAGTAGCTTGGTCTTAACATAAATGGCCTGATCAACTATAGTGGCAATATTTTGATTACTTGGATACCTTGAATAATTGGAAACCCTAATTTTGATTCTTGGAAGAATTGAAAACTAATAATCAGAAGCAGTAATTTTGATTAATCAGTTAGCTAATCATCAATGTAGTCATCCAGTTCTATTAGTCAGTATCTGTACTTTATCTGTATAGGGAAACATGTATGAACTCTTGCTGTGATTTATTGCTTTTCACAGAGTAATAAACAGCTCTTCCCTGGACCAAAAACTGGTAATGAAACAATAAAATTAAGGGAAAATAGATGTGAAAAGGTTAACGGCTGAAATTATGAAGATGATTGAATTAAAGATCTGGCAACAAATGATGCATTTTAAAAAGGAATGAAGGTATTATTCACTTTATTTAATATTTTTAAACTTTTTTATTTTGTTGTTCATTGATGAATTTGCTGCAGTTGATATTAAGGTATAGAAAATAAATAAAAATAATAAATGAAATATAAAGTTTTTCAGATTTTTGACATTCACTTAGAAGGTTCTAGAGGGTATACAATTGAAATATGAAATCTTTAAAATGAAAATAAGTATTTTTAGCCATGGTATAGCGGCTCATAGAATAGCTCTGAGTTTTTCAAATATAAACTTTTAGCTCATAGCTCCATCATCTCTTGACTGATTTGAGATCTAATTACAGCTTTGGACTCAGGAGGTCAAACCCTTTCAATTGATGTAATCGACCACACCCAAAATCTCGTAGATTAATTTACTTTTATTCTGCCTAAAAGAATTTCAATTTGAGGGTAGCCTGGTATAGATTCTAATAAGTAATAATATTGAATTGGGTATATGTGCACCCCATGCTTGGTATTGCTGGCACACAAAAATATAGCTAATAAAAAGGGAAAAAAAAGTTCTTGTAGATTAATTTACTCTAATCCTGCCTAAAGGAATTTCAAGTACCACGGCTATTGAGGATTCCCTCATTTATATTAATATGAAAATTATATTTTACTCTGATTCAGTAAAGGTTTTGTAAGTTCATGGACACATTTTTAGTAGAAATTCTTTATTAAAAAATTTAATTTTTTTTTGTCTGCAAGAGACTTATAATGTTTACTGAAAACTTGCCAAATTTCCTGAAGATACATGTAGTAAATTCAGAGTTATAGTGTGTACAGTTTCACACTTCCAAGGTGTGTCAAATTGACCCATTTCGTACTAGCATAGTGGTGAAGGAGCTTGAGTAATTGGGAATAGATTGATGGTCAGGGCAATGAGGATGTTGGGAAAAGCCTTTTGCATTATAAATCCATAGGCTTACTAACCCATCAAGGGACAGGTTTCAAGTTTAGAAAGTTTAATTGGCAGTTATCGTAGGCCACTTGATTAGACAGATGAAGTCATTGAGAAATTGTATAATGGGATTAGGAGCATTATTAATAAGAATTCTGATGTAGTAATTGTGGGAGATTAGATTGATTTGGATTGTATGAAGTCAATAGTGGGGGAGAGAGACTTATTGAAGTGATTCAGGTTGGTTTTTCTATACTGAATTGTCATGTCAGCACGAGGGGATGCCATTTTAGATTTATTGTTAACAACTAAAAAGAGTATGGTTGCAACAGTTCAAGTGGAGGAAACTTTGATAAAGACTAATCAGTGTATAATTATGTTTGACACGCTACTTGCTGTGATTAAAAAAGAATTAAATGTTAGTTCCTGATTTTCAGAGATCCAGTTTGGAAGCTATAAGACAAGATGTATCTTTAGTGAATCAGGATAACGAATTAAAAGCAGATGTGGAACTGATTTGTGAAATTTTTAGAAATAAATTTCTTTTAATTCAATATAAAAGAAATATCTTAAAAAGAGAGGAAAGGGATAACAGGGAACATCATATCTGATTGTCCCATTAAAGACACAAAGAAAATCAGGGATAAATATAAGTAAAATAAATTTAAAATTAACAAACAAAATTATGAGAAACACCTGGGTGACAATGATAAAACTAATAGCAATATTCTTTTAGAGTATGTTAAAGGTGAGCAATATGTTAAAATTGGAATTGGGCCATCAATGAATATTGAAGACTGTGAGAGAGCTGAGCCTTCTTTTTGTATTTTTTACAACAGAAAATGTTAGCAATATATTTGTATATCTGACCATTATCATACTGTGGGAAATACTGGAATTGACCTAAATCATGTAGCTGCTAATTCTTTGGTGCCAGTTGGCAGTAAGTAGAAAGTTTGAGAGATTAAAATTATATAAAGAACCAGGGCTAGACAAGGATTCACTTGGGTTTTTTAAAGGATGTCAAAGATCACATAGGCAAGTTTCTCTTTCATTTTTGATAGGTCAACAGGCAGTGAGCAGGTGCATGATAATTAGAGAGTTACTGAAGTTACTCCTATGTTTATAGCATGTGATAAGTGTTGTACTAAAAATTTTAAGCCATTTAGTTTTATTTCTGTAGTATGAAAAATTCTAGAGTCTGATAAGAAGTTTTACAAAATCGTATAGTGAAAAACAATACCATAAATGGAAGCCAACACTAAAGAGAAATATTGTTTTATTTATTTATTTTTTTGAGGATGTTACTTATCATCTGGATTTATTGTACATATATTTCCTTAAAGATTCTACAAAGAAATTAACTAATGGGGTGGAGACTTGTTGATTATGTTGTAGAGTGGTTTGGCAAGGTAAATTAAAATCTTATTATAAATGACGTCCAGTCAAACTAGACCTTTGTTAGTAGTGGAGTTCCTCAGGGTCGTTGATTTTAATTATATTAACAGTATTGAGTTTATTGATAAGAACATAGTTATATTATAAATCGAATCACATGCTTAACATAGACAGGAAACCGATTGGTAGTGTGACTCCAAAAAGATCTTGGATAGATCATTCAAGCCATCAGGGTAGTGTAAAGCTAATTAGATCTGAGCAATTAACTTGATTAATCAACATAATCAATTAACTATGAGCAAATATTATACTGATTATTGTCACAAAAATAATCAACCAATAAAAATTAGCGTTTTTTTGATGTGTACTGTTTTTGATTATTTCAACTATCTAGTAATCCAAATTTTACCATTTTGATTTTTCATTATTATGTCTCATTAATTCAAGTTTGTTTGACTTAATCTATTTGTGTCACAGTTTATGAAAATGATACTGTGTCCACTGTGGGAATCAAAACCAGATTTGTAGCTTTAGAAAGTGATTATTTTAGGAACTTCTTAAAATAATAATGTTTTGTATTTTTTTTTCAGATATCTCGTGATAATAATTAATGAGTTGAGTTTGATCAACTAATGAGCCCTACAATTAATCGTTTACTAAGTTTCACTAATAGCCTAGTTATAAAGCTAACAGAATTTTAGGTGTATTTATAGGCATGTTGATTACATGTAAAATGAAATAGTTATCTTTCTACACAAATTGCTAGTTAGATCTCACTTGGAATGATATGTACAGTTTTGGTTTTCTTATGTAAGAAAGTATTTTGATGACTTGAGAAAAGAAACGTAAGAAGTGAACGTATTAAATAAAAATAAATAATTGTCTTACTTGCCAAGGAGTAAGTGTCAGATTTTTGTTTTTATAGCCCTGGAACAAAAAAAAAAAAGGTTCAAAACAATTAAAAAAGATTTTTTTATATAATATATAATGAACTTGCAAAAGGTCGGTTTCTTGTTATTGTTAAGTAGAACATCTCCTGTTAATTAACTTGGGAGGAGATCAGTTTGCTCACGTGGTGGAAAGGTGTTTGTTTTTAATCTGTTATTACACCTGATATATTACCTAAATACATTTGTTTTAAAAATTATTTTTTGAAAAATAACAAGATATTTAATTTTGCCAAGCACATTTGGTTATAATCATCTCCGTCAGTAGTGCTTGAAATATTCCAACATTGGTGTGATATTTAGTGATGTAAAGTCAATTTGTATTTTTTGATAAGTTTTAAAATTCACTAGGATTTCTGCAGGAATCTCTTATTATCGTAATTCAGTTTTAAGCTTTTCTTATATGGTTACATAAACTTCTTTGAAGTGGAAATAAAACTTTACTAATTTTATTGATTTTTCTTTTTTTTTATGCTTACTGTGATTTCTTACAGAATATACTTCCATGCCTTAACTTGGTAAAAAGTTAGAAAACATATAAACTTTTACTTGCAACTATATTTATAGTCACTAACATCATTAACCACTCGAAAGCAAAAAAAGCTGAACCTGGTCATGAAAGTATTGTGAAAATAATATTTGTCTTAAGTTTTATTATCTACCAATTAAATATTTTCAGACAAATCGAAATGTCAACAATTAAAACCAAGGTATTCAATATCACAAGGTGGAAATTTTATAAGGTATGGGAATAATTATTAGGACATCATAAGCAATTCTGGTAGAACATGCATAAAATTATGGGTTTAAAGAGTTAACACACTGCACATTTACCATGAAAAGAAAAAAAAACATTTACTTACATAGGTCCATTTATACAAGGTAGATAATAACATGGTTTGGATTAGTTTTCAGCCAAAGAGACATAAAAGTTATCAGATGCTGTCACTGTCCAATGGGTAAATTGGAATTTTCGGGTGGATGCTAGTGGCATCTGCTTAGATTTATGGAGTTAATCAAAGGGCACAAGAAATATATTATTTTTTTAATCTGCTTATAGATACCTGTATGTCTGTTAATTTTTCTTCTTTGTCATTATTTTTTGTTTTTTTTTACAAAAATTCTCTAATGTTTTAAAATCATAGTGAGCAAGATATATTGTGTTATCGATATCTGTATTTTTCTTTCAGGGAAAATCTTTAGAATTTACTAATCAGGACGAACAAAGTAGAAGGTGGTTAAATGACTTTCGAATGAAAACGTTTGCTGTTCCTCTAAGTTTACACACAATAGATCGTAAGTATAAAATTGAAAACTAAGGAACATTACAGTAGTTTTTAATATTTTTGTGGTTTTAGAGAAAGGAATTTGTTAGACATACATGACTGTTTCATTTAAATTTAATATGAAAGTTTTGATATAATTAGTTATAAAGTGCAAGTGTTAAATTAAGTATTTTTAGAAGCGATAACTTACTGCAGGTTTCCTTTTGTAACTGATTACAAATCACTTGTTGTGAATTGACATCACGTAACTTGAATCTTCTGAATTTTTCTCATTACAACATCTCAGAGTCTGTTGAAAGTTTTAGGCATCAGTTGGGCAATATATATATATATATATAGGTGATCAAGTTAAGTAAGGGAAGTAAAAGTGAAATTAGACTGCGTGTCAGATTACATATAATGGGCAATTTTTAAAATTAGTGTCATAGCCTTGTTTTGTAACAACAAAGTAAGGAAGAATAATTAATCTTGTCATAGGGTGTTCTAAAGTAATTGAACCCTCCTGTGTGGACTTCGATGAAAAGGAAACAGTTATTTAAAGCCCTGGATACAGCTGTGATAACCAACAGTTTGATGAATTTTAGTACATATGTTTGACTTGTTTTGAATATATTATTTTATTGTAAACAAGTGGATTTTGTGCTGTCTGTTTGTTGTTGAAATTATCACCAACAAATCACAGACACCTACTATAAAAAATTTGGACCCTATAAAACTTGACAGAAGTAAAAGTATGTGTATGTGTGTATATATATATATATGTGTGTGGTTTTCATTTTTTTTTTTTTTCAGTAATTGCAGCCACAATTTTGTGTCTTACATTTATAACAGGTTTTTTCTCAGTGTGAAACCTTTAAACAACTTTCTTGCACTTTTATTCAAGCTTTTTGTATATGTTTTACCTATGGATATTTCATAATTTGATAAAGTGAACTTAGTTGAAACAAGTCTTTTCAAAGTACATAGTATATAAATCATGGATGTATTTATATATATATGTGTGTGTGTGTGTGTGTGTGTGTGTGTACAAACATTTTAGTTAATTTCAGTTAATCATATGTGCACAGTTGGGGTTCAAGTATGCTCCAACCTTCTATATACTCCCATTCAACAGTTTATGTTAGAGAAAATACTAGATACAATATACAGGGATACTGCAAAAAAAAAATTTTAGATATGTATTTACGAGGTTTTTAAAGGTTATACAAATACAATTTGTAAACTGTACGATGGACAAAAATATATTTCTTATTCACATGAACATCACCTTGCACTCAAACTCAAGTGAGACTGACTTTGTCAATTCACAAACACAGGTAAAAAAACTTTATTAACACATCTGATTTTTTGTTTACATTAATCTTGTACTATTGACTAAATGTTTGCCACATTTTGTGAAGCTATACTTCGTAAGTTCAGAATTATAGTGAACATTACTTCTCCAATATGGGTCTGTCCATTGGACGTTCAGTTGACAGAGGAAGTATGAGCTTTTGGTATGATAAGTTTAAAGTAATATAATATTGAATAGAACCTCAATTTCTATGATTAAATATAAGCAGCTGAAAGAGATGTAGCTCCAAATGAGACAGATTATTGTTGATGAAAACATTTCAAGACAAATTTTGAATATAAATTTAAAGAGAGAGAGAGAGAAAACCTCAGCAAAAAAACTAAAATTTTCCCGGTATCATAAGGCTATTTTAACTTTTTTGTGTGAATTTTTTTTTCAGCCCACTAAGTTATCTAGTGTGTCATTTTGACCTTGATAATAAGTTAGTTTACCAGTTGGAAACTAATTAGCTGGGGGGAGAGGGGGAAGTGAGTTTCAACTTCTATCAGTGACAGTAGTTGTAAAATTTCAATTTTTATCAAAAACAACTTGTTATTAGTTTCACATGTGATTATTCTTCATTAAAAATGTATGTCAGAATCAAAAAAATGTAACTGACTGAAAAGAGAAATGGTTTATAACAACTATATTAATCTTGTTTTAAGAAAGAATCTTCTTCAAATATTTATGATTTTGAAATAACAATATTTAAAGTTTGGGAAGTAATAATATAATTGTCAAGTCTTTTTTTTCTTTTTTTTCAAAAAATTGACGGAACAGCTGGTGAGACTTTAATTGCATTCTGGGAACAATGCTGCTTGT